AAGAATACACATCTTAGAGAATTCACACACATTGAGTTCCTACTATGTGCCAGGCACCACCTTCTTTCTTAAAAAATAAAATAAAAATTTTTTAAATTTATTTCAGAGAGGAAGGGAGGAGAGAGAGATAGACACATCAATCATGAGAGAGAATCATTGATCAGCTGCCTCTTGCACACCCCACACTGGGGACTGAGCCCACAACCCGAGCATGTGCCCTGACTGTGAATCGAACCGTGACCATAGGTTGATGTTCAACCACTGAGCCGTGCCAGCCAGGCTCCGCCTTCTTTCTTTAAGTTACTAACATCTTGTTTGATGATTTCATTGACATTCCTAGAATGTTCTAGAGTTATTGCTGGGAGACCCCCCCCACCCCCGGCAAAGGAGCCTCATATGAGCCCTCACAGCTGGAGTCCGCAAAAGATGTCTCTTTCCCTCCTTCCTGGCTCTCAGTGGTCCAAACCCCCTGACCACCAAGAGCTTGGAAAAGCTGCTCATCACTGGGGCTGACTGTGACATACAAACTCAAAGGGCTCAGCAATTCACCTGTCATTCTTGAACGGTGCAAACAAGCTCTGAGCCCCACAGCCCCCATGTCCCTGGGAGGGGCGAGGTGGGAAGGACAGTGGCCTTCTTAGTCCTTTCCTCTCTTTTCTGGCCCCTCAGCTCCTCTCCATCCTCCCCCGGTTACTAAACAGACAATCCCATGCACTCGGGAATGAAAACCAGAAGACACGGGGCGAAAGGGGGGGGCGGGGGGCGGGAGGGGGGTGTCGGAGGCAGGAGTGTCCACTAGCAAGGGCCCAGCTGTTAGGTTAGCTCGTTTAAGCCTGTGAGATCGGTGATTATCGATCCCATTTCGCAGAAGGGGAAACTGCGGCTCAGAAGGGGTAAGCCATTTGGCCGGGTTTCCACAGGCAGTGACACAGCACTTAGCAAGAGCTCAGGAAATATCTGCTGACAGGCGGCATTGGAAATATGGAGGCAGGAAAAGATCTCCAGCTTCGGGGAACCTCAGGCCCAACTGTGTGGTGAAAGGGGGCTGTCAATCAAGGTAACCCCCCCAGGGTGGGAGAAGGGGCAGAGATGGGGAATATGGGGTCAGCTCGAAGGTCAATTGCTCCCGACCCTCCTCCTTTCTGCCCTGATTCCTGTTGTTATATACTTTACTTTATACCAACAGCCCATCACACACACCCCCACCCTCCGAAAAAAAAAAAAAAACCCTTTCAGAAATGGTAAGCCGTGACATTTGCAAGTTGCATGATCCCCAAATGTCAACATGCATGTGTCCCAACCTTGCTTCCTACTTTGGGCATGAAGGGAGGGGCAGTGGTGAAGTGTGGAGAGCGCCTGGGCTTGGGACCCAGAGATGAGCCTCTGTTCCCTGGCAACCAGCGAGGTGACCTTATGCAAATTGATTTCCATTGTCCTCCTTCAGTTTCCTCATATGCAAAATGGGAAATGACAGTTGCCCCCCTCAAAATGTTATTGTGAAGATCCAGTGAAGTAAGGCAACACGACTCCTAGCACTTCAAAATGACAAGGGCCTCCACCTACGTCTCTGGCAGCCTTCTGAGAAACCCTGGGTCTTATTATCCCCATTTGTCAGCTGGGGATAAGGGAAGACTCAGAAAGACTGAAGTTCACTGGAAAACAGTGGGTGGTACCTCATTCCAAAGCAGTCGCGCTGGCCCCACCCTGGCTGACCCTCGGATCCTGCATTTGTCCCAGAGTCTCTCCTCTGAGTCTGTGTCCTGTTCAAAGCTTTCATTCATTCAATAAGTATTTGTTGTGTTCCTACCTGGCACCTTGGCCTGGTGCTGGGGATTAAGGACACTATTGCAGAGCCCCTGGTCTGACAGGGAAAGCAGACATTACGTGAGGGCAACAGTGTCACATTAGCAGGAATGGATGGGCGGGGGGGGGGGGGGGGGGGGATAAAAAGAGAAAGTGGGGAAACCTTGGGGAAAAGGAGGAAGTACCTCCTAAAAATTCCGGGAAAAGGGGGCCCCCTCTCCAGGGGGAAAGGGCCATATATGGGAGCCAGATCAAAGGAAGCGGGGGGGGAATTCTGGGGGGCCCCTCTTTTTCCACTTCCCCTGAATATATAAAAGCTATTTGCCAAGGGCGGACCATGT